TACAATTTTTGGCGCGTTTGTGTGTAGCACTAATTCACGAATACGCCAACAACTCAATACCTAGTGACTGCGCTTAATTTTGAATACGCCAATTTTTATAGACGTAAAGTATCCTAATGAACTCAAAATAAAAGGCACCACAGAATCTGCTATATCTACTTCATATTTGGATGTTTTACTGACAATTGATTATATGGGCCAACTAACAACGAAACTGTATACCAAACGAGATGACTACAACTTTTCCATTCGTCAACTTTCCCTATTTATGTAGTGATATTCCGTTATCACCTGCATGTATATCATATACTCGTACGGTACCAATTTTGATGCACCAGATGCGCATTTCGACAAATTATGTCTCTTCAGTTATGCTCATGCCGAAACCCTGGAAATCCGAAATATATAATTTAAAAAGCTTTCAAGAGCTTAAAAAAGGGATGCCAAAGACTAGAGCCAAATACGTGGAAGGATCAGAGCTATTCATGAGGGAAATAATACTTAATTTTAAAATAAGTTTTAAATTTTTCCACAGCAATTAAATATATATCCGTATTTTCATGCTAGTACCGAAGTACTTAGCTACTGGGCGGTAGAGCCTCTCGGGAACTAACAGTCCACCAGCAGGGGCCTCGACCCAGGGGTCATAATGTACATGTACAGTGTATATAATATACATTACCAATTTTGATGCAACTGTTTAGACAATTTTAACAAATTATGTCTCTTCAGTGATGCTTATGCCGAAACCTTGGAAATCCGAAATATATAATTAAAAAAAAAACTTTGAAGAGCTTAAAAAGGGGTGCCAAAGATTGGAGCCGAATATGCATTAATGCATATGGTGTTTATGTCTCTCAACTTATTTGATACTCAAGAGCATGCTCTGTACACGATGAATTTTTAACCGAGGCAGGCAACTGACAGATAAGTTGATGTTCAAGAAATTTCAACGACTTTGTTTAAAGTCAGCATTTCGTAAATTCTATGCTCGTTATAACGACCGTGTTAGCGAATATAACTTATCATTGTGTCGTATTATTACTTAAAAATATTTCATACCTATTATTAGGCCTTTGTTTTATACTGATGTGGTTACGGTGTATTCTGTCTATCTGATCAATGCATAGGGCTTAATGAGGGTATCACCGGTCGACAGGGGGCGCTTACTTCTACTAAGCACCTGATCCCACCTCTTGAATTTCCAGGGGTTCGTGGTTTATGCCCTGTTCACATATTTGTAATTTTTTTTTAGATCGGTCACTGTTCGTTATTTTTTTTTCATTTCTACCTTATGGTGAAGAGTCCACTTTATAAGTTCGAAATGATTTGGTCACGAGTCCGTCAGAATACGATTGAATAGAAAACTTTATTTTTCTTCCTTGTCCTGTTATAAAATTTAAATTATGAAATACCAATTTCACGTGGATAAACAGGCAGATTTGTCAATTGAAAGTCAAGAGGTCATCATGAAGAAAAAATAATGTGCATGAGCGTATGGAAGGAAGTCCATTATGCATAATGAAATAAAATTGATTTATTAGATCATTGCGCAACTACATAATCAAGTGTCTTGAATCCCTCTTTTCTGCATTTCCCTTTCGTCAATGCTTAAATTTTCTTTTTTAAAGTTCTTTTTGTAAACTATCCAAGTCTTATTATGGGGCTTCAAAGTAGATTTTCCTATTTTTGTTTAATAAATAAAAGATGCACGCATCTTTCTGAAATGTAATAAATTAAAGCTAACTGAAATATCCTAAATTAAAGGTGTATTCTTATTCTTTTTCATTTACTGTTCATTGCTTTAATATATGAGCAAACCTAAAAAAGTAGGAAACCGTACACAATATCTTACAAAGTAACAATTAATTAAGTGTAAATAATTGAGTAAAGAACCGTCACCAGAGGAGCGTTAAATCAAATATTTTTTCCCACTGGACGAACATCTGTTAATAACACCTGACATTAATTCTTCAGAAAAATTTAAAGAATTCAATGATTTTAAAAGCATAAAGGTTTTAAGGTGGAAAAGGAATTGTATTTAAAAACATCATTTGTGTTCTGTATGTCTAATCATTTAAATACCTAGATAGCCCTTCATTTACACTGTAAACCTTCATTACTTCCTCAAACAAGTGTGAAAGGTTTATTCTATCGTTATGTCTGTCTGTCTGTCGATTTTATAATTTTGTCCGTTTTCATTGACATCGTTTCCAAAACTGTCTAAAACATCAGAAATGGGATTTTGAGAAATCAGTAAGAAGGTGTTTCTTAAGGCAAGAAAGAATGAATTAGACTTTGATGCAGATCTGGCTAAAAAGATTTCATCAAGGTTTTTTTTAGATAACATTTCGAGGAAAAATGTACCTTAGAGTATATTTAAAAACATGTAAAGAAAGATGACTCTTACTATTTTTTTTTTATGTTAAAACCTCACTAGTTATCAAAGGCAATATAGCAGTTTTGTGTCTTGTCGAAAATTATAACAGAAAACATCTTAGGTGTCATTTATTACAATGACGAAAATATATGCAATGCATAAAATAAATACAAAAGAATTTGGCTGAGAGACATACTAGCATCAATGAAAGATTGTTGACATATAAACTGTTTCTTAACTAGATATGCAAGTCAATAAATAATTGCACAACAATGATCTACCAGCCACAACATTATAACAAAAAACAAATGTGATAGGCTTAAGGACATTGGCAAGGTTCCTGGTTATTGTATAGAACTTTTCAAGAACTATTGAGTAAGTTTAAATGTACTAAACAGGCTATTTTCTGGATTGTTTTACCTACCTATCCAACATTCTTTTTAAAATTTTGTCAAATTAGTGTTTTTACAATTCTTAATGCATTTCCTATGTAAAATGTTGATGAAAGGAACCTACATAATTTTTCACCAGAATATTTCTTCAAAACCCATTTATTTCATACAGTATTTGTATTATATACATTATGCCTTCCACATGCTCAGAATGAAAATTTTTAAACATATTGTTTCCCGCAGCCAGAATACAAAACTAAGAATGAATGTAGTTGTAAATATGTCATTTATTAATGACACAAAGTTAAGACATGAAAATAGGGAGATCCTATGTTTTTCTACAATTTGTTTATACACCAGGATTTGGATCTCCCAAAACGTAAAGGTACAGCATGATAGTAATCATTATTGTATCTTCATTTCCTATGACTTCTAGATATTTTGGCTGAAAATGTATATATAGAAACAAGACATGGATAGACCGGTACCGATCATCATTTTTGAGTTGCGTCCCTTATAAGTAACAGCTAAAATTGGTCAAGAGACTGGTTGATTGTTTTTATCATGTAATTGACTGCATTGCTTGAAATACATTGTCATAAAAATATTGGCATGGATTTATTTTTAACTTTTACTCCTTGTTACTAAATGCTAATTCCTTCATATAACCTAAGAACTGTTCTCAGTCGGCATGGTCGACCTACCTTTCAGCAAACGTCACATCTTTGCCCTTCCCAGCATACTGAGCATAACTATGGTAAATGACGACCTGTTGGCTCCAATGTACAACAAAGCCATTACTACTTTTCTTTCTTGCTGTATAGATGATCCTACCCATTGAAGGAAGTACACGTGCTTTTTGTTTACCTCTGTAACATACGCTTTATTGGTTCTCACCACTTAAAGAATTCTACACGGGAGATCACTCTCAATCACTTTTTTATAAGTGAAAAAACCCATATATTAAACCTTTTTCTCTGAAAAACCCTGACTTGCCAATGTCCTTAATGCAACAGAATTAAATATATCTTTATTTGGTAATTCATACTTAAATTGCTGTGGTATTCGTTCACACGTATTTTCGAATATTTTGAACGTTCAAAATAATTGATATTAAAGTAATTGTGAACTTCTGATAGCATTTCACACTTGGAATACTCAAAACACTCATTATTTGTCTGATTTCTACATCCGTACTTGTCATTTGGGTCCAGTATTTTAAATATTTTAGCAAAGAAGAAATTGTTGGACAAAAACATTGATTATGTTAGCAAATATGCTAAATATTTTCCACAAGTGCTGGAATAATTTTTTATATAATACCTATGAAAACATATGTGTATACGTATATTGCACGGGTATTCTCAATGGAAGGGAGCTGACTGGTGATTTATTGTGTGAAAACTACAATGGAAAAACTCTTCATTTTTTTTATCATATGTAAGTAACATTGATGTTAGTGTACATGTGAAGTTTAGGGAACATCTACCGTCTGGGTATTTCTAGGGACCATCTCAAAATGCAAGTACATTTACTATAGAATTATATGGGAAAATGTTACTAGTAATTTTTGCACTTCAAAGCAAATTATACAAATACTGCTCAAATTATAATATGTGTTGGGTGATACTTTATTATACTTTATATATAAGAAATACAAAGATTTTCTGTCTGGTTTCCAGACGGGGAATCTCAAATGTCAAAATTTGCGAAATTTACCTTTTTTTAAGAAAAAGGCGTTAATGGTAATCTAGAAACAAAGTTTTATGATAAATGTGATGACCTTAACTTTTCAATCGTAAACCTCCCTTACTTATGCAGCAATATACTCTCATCACCAGCATATGAAGTGTATATCTCTCAGCTGATTAGATACGAAAGAACATGCTCTACGTATGAACGATTTCTCAAACGAGACAAACAAGTTGATGAAACAAGAATATCAGCAGTCCCTTTTAAAGTCATCGTTTCGTAAGTTCTATGGTCGATACAATGACCTTGTCAGCAAACACAATCTATCATTAAGTCATATGCTGACTGATGTTTTTCATACTAATTGTTTAGCCATTATTTACACACTGAATTGTCTACGATTTTTTCCGTTATTTACCGAATATGACAAGGAGCATACGGCGGGTGTGACCGATTGAAAAGAAAAAAGAAAACAAACCTAAAACGAAATAAATAAATAAATAAATAAATAAAATAAATAAAAAAAAAATCAGAGGTCCATTGTGCGAACAAAAATTTATTACAAGTTAAATGTCTAATCAATTCAAATTCAAGGTAATATCTGCCAGTGCTGAATCTATTCTGTTGGTGACATCATAAAGTCATATTTTCATCATTTATTTTCACAGAATACGTAACATTTACTTTCCGTGTAGTTTACGTTTGTTTTGCAAAAGGAACACATTCCATCTGCAATTACCGTTGGTGTTTCTGTGGAACCTGAAACAAATGCAAAATATTCATATGCTATAAAGGATTTCAACGTGTCTAAATTTAGAAGAAAATCATTTTTTTTTCTTTTCAAAGAACTGACCAAGAAAAAAAAAGTTCTGATGTTTTTGACAATAACACTGCGATATTTAAGTCCGGACACGACAAAGTTCGGACTTTCAGCTACCCCTTCCTTAAGACATAATAAAACATTTTCCTGAATTTTGATAGGATTTTTTTTTATTATGATCACATTATGTGAACCTTAACTTACACATTGTAGTAGTTTTCTTGAAAAACTGTCCCAAATATAAGAATCCTATTGGAGTGTGGAGGGATTATTTCATCCCATCAAAATCCCATGGGAGAAAAAAAAATTAGTATTGACCGCTCAATATCTTAAGAACCCTTTGCTTGACGCACATCACACCTTGTACAATGGCACCCCCTGAAGAGTAATTGACACTGTGGATTTTGAGGTTATTTTGAGGTCTCATGTTAATGACAAAACTACTTTAGACATGAAAAGATGGTGTCCGTTCAATATTAGAGAATCATTTGCTTGACAGATATTACATTTGGTAAAATGGTACCCTTTGAAGAGTAAATGACCACCACATTTTTGGGGTCACAATATCAGAAGTGAAGGGTCAAACTGGATATAGAAATTTAATGTCACTATCATTAAAGACATAGTAACTTCGAATATGTTCCCACTTTTATATTATCAAAAGACTGGTTTATATGTTTCTATAACATATATTGATCCACTTATAGTGTGAATTATTTTGGGACGAAATTTAAATTCCGTTAAAGTATCATGGTACATCATTGGATTAGTTTAATGTTATTAAACTACTTTGTCTCCAATTATGTTACTATAGGATTATTTTTCCTATATTATGCCAAGACATTGGATATTTAATCCTAGCTATTTGATTTAGTGGAATATTTTGTCCTGTGGGAGAACTTATCCCATTTTGCAACAATCAAACGATTTTTCCCCATATGGGACAAAATGTCCCACCGCATTATTTTTCCCATGGGATGTTGGTGGGATTTCAGGTGGGATGAAAAATCCCTCCATTCTCCCATGGGATTCTTATATTTGGGACAGTTTTTCAAGAAAACTACTACACTGTGTAAGTTAAGGTTAACATGATGTGATCGTAATAAAAAATCCCATCAAAATTCAAGAAAAAAAATTAAATTGTCTTAAGGAAAGGGTAGTTGAAAGTCCGGACTTTGTCGTTTCCAGACGTAAATTTCGCAGTGTTCAATCTATTACTAAACATTTATACATAATTTTATGTTCGTAACACTTTACATCCTTATTTTGTGGCGAAAACAATTCAAGATTATACCTTGACAATATTATCTCTGTTTCTTGCTTTTAATAGCATAATGATTTTATGTTCCTTTTACTTGCTGAGGAATAAACCCCCAAAACAACAAATTATTGGTAATATTATGATAGTTTAATTTGTGAGTAATATCAGTCTTATAATTATTCTGAAGTAGAGGATGGGTTATTTTACAATGATAGGTAGAACCTTAGTTTCAAAAAGAAAGAATCAAAGTGATAAAAAGTAGAACCTATAGAACTTACATTAATGTCTTTACGGAAAAAAAAATGATTTTCCGATAAACATACCTTTTGGCTTTTGCAGAAGATTTACACGCTGAGTAGGAATACACAGGATAAAATAGTTGATGAAAATCAAACAGAAACATGTGCACAGTATAAGCCTCATTTTACCTCGATATTGAAAATGATTTTCCTTTCATGTCATACCAAGAAACCTTTTATATGGAAATCCAATTGTTGTCGGTGATGACAAAATCTTTCAAGAAAATCGCTGAAATAAAATTAATTAATTTAATTTCCATATAAATACCTTTGTGATGGATTACTTTCGTTTTCTGTTTCATAAATCATGAATTTTAACATTCGTTTCTTTAAAGAAATTATTTGAGTTCTAAAAGGAAACACAATAACCCGGAAGAGTTACTTACACCGGACATAGCAGTTAAAAATATTAAAAATTTTAACTTCCGGGTAACTTCCGGGTACCATTAACTTGAATTCTAATACAATTTACACATCAAGATAGTTCACAAATACCTACAATCAATGCACATCTATCACAAAGAACTAGGAAAAAATTGTTTTTACGTGAATTTGGTATTTTTGGATGTGTAGTGGCCAAATAGTCTAAACAATGGGAGGCATTAAGATGAGGAACTCATTTGATAATCAACTTGAATGTTAACTTAAATTTTAGACTTAATTTTTTTAACCTAATTTTTAGACAGATGTATCAAAGGTGAAGATAATGTAGAGTGATAAATTTCATAAATCTTATAAAGAATATGAAACGTGAACAGGGCAAGAGCATGGACCACTGGAAACACCAGATATGGGATTATGTGCCTAGAAGAAGTTAGCTTAGCATCCCCTGTTCACCAGTCACATTCGATCCGCAATGTGAACCATCTGTATTTTTCAGGTAGACGAAGTAATCAGTTGTCAAATTTAGTATTAAAACATTGACCGAACAATTGGCATGAAACATGTTAAACAAAATTATACAATCCAAAGATAGGTTTAATCTGGGATTTGCAAACATTTTTACAATTTTTTTTTTAATATTCTCAAAAAACCAACATGAATTTGAATTTCCATATCTATATTGGATTCCGAAACTTCATAAAAATCCTTCCAAACAAAGATACATAACGGGTTGCAGTAAATGTTCTACCAAGCCTCTTTCTTTACTCCTCACTTAAATATTAACAGCAGTGAAGGTGAAACTCCAGGAGTACTGAGCAGCAATATATTCGAGAAGTGGTGTAAATCAGGTATGGATACTTAAAAATTCCAAAGAACTCTTGGAAAGTTTGAAATCACAAAATTTTACCAAAATCAACAACATAAAAATTAACGACTTTTCAACTTTATATACAACCATTCCCCACGATATAATAAAGTCCAGGCTTTTTGATATCATTGACAGCTGCTTTTTCAATAAAAATGGAACTCGTAAATTTACTTACCTTGCCTTTGGTCATTTGCAAAAATATTTTGTTAAAAAACATCCTGATTGTACACACAGGTACTCAAAAGTTGATATTAAAAAAATGCTTGAGTTTCTGATTTTAATATCCATGTGGTTTTTGGAGACTATGTCTTCCAACAATCTATTGGAATTCCCATGGGTACCAATTGCGCCTCGTTATAAGCATACCTATTTTTGTATGCATATGAAGCACAAATTGTTCAAAATCTTGTACGTGAAAAGAAGAAAACACTTGCTGTGGCTAACTTGCCTGAGAAATATGTTTTTCTCCTGCAGCAATATACCTTCATCACCTGCATACGGGGTTTATATCTCTCAGTTGATCGATAAGCAAGAGCATGCTATACGTATGAACAATTTCTATTACGAGGTAAGTTTTTGACAAACAAGTTGATGAAACAAGAATATCAGCAGTCTCGTTTAACGTCATCATTTCGTAAGTTCTGTGGTCGATACAATGACCTTGTCAGCAAATACAATTTATCATTGAGTCAAATGCTGACTGACGTTTTTCATACTTATTGTTAGACCATTATTTACACACTAAATTGTCGGCGGATTTTTCCTTTATTTTCCGATCATGACAAGGAGCACGCGGGGGGTGTGACCGGTCGGCAGGGGATGCTCACTCCTCCGTGGCACCTGATCCCACCTCTAATGTTTTGGAGGTCCGTGTTTGCTCTGCTCCTATTTTGTATTGTTTAATGGACTTTTGAGCTTGAATACTGTTCGTTATCTCCATATATTTCATTCAGTGGATACAGTAGAACCCATTTGACAAAGTAATAACATTATCTGGTATTACACTGAAATATAATGTAGTACTGGCATTTATACATGCATTATATTTCAGACTAGCAAACTATATTAATAGCAATTTCCACAGTAAAAGTCCAGTGACTCTCAATACAACGTTTTGGCTCTACACAGTTGTTATAAAAGCTCTGATTTGTCTATATGACTTACTGGAATAAGTCCTAGTATCTCCTATGAGAAAGGATTATTTAACATTAATGATATTTGAGCTTTGATATGGGTGTTAAATGTAATAAAACTAGCATTTAAAATGGAATTGTTTTAGTAGGATTTATGTCAGTAAGAAAGTATGGAATTAGAATTTGGTAATTCAATTACCTTTACCTCAAAGATTCCTTTCAAACATCCGTTTTATCGAAAAATAGGAAAAATTGGCAGATCAATACAAGCATTATTGATTTGTTTTTTTTTTTATATTTCCAGGTTAGAACTAGTTCAGGAAAGTGCATATATGATAGCAAGCTTCGCCGCAAGCCAAGTGGTTTTGTGTCCCTCCTGTTTGTGAAATAATATGGAAAATAAACCCGTGGCTTGCGACAATGTGTAGTGGAACATTTTTTTAAAAACTTCAATTCCGACTTCATTAACGAAAAGTCATTCATGTAAGACTTTGTATTCTTTGGAAATTGATGAGCATGTCCTCTTGGCTACGGATGACAGATTTGTGTTGAAATGTAAAGAGAGTGTTCTGATTTTTTTCTCTACAATTATTTTTCATTTCTTATTTCTAGTTCTGTTCTTTAAATATTGAAAACATTGTACTAAATGGATGTATCGTTTATCTAAAGTTATATATTTGAAAAATGAGTATGGTTTGAATTTCTTAGTTTTATAAAGTATAAACCTATTTTATAGGAATTAAATTTCCTAATTCATATTAATTGATATTTTTTTTACCTCTGACAATCTGTACCGAGAGCCGGACAGATACACCCATTGTTTTTTATCAAGATAAATATCATTAGTAAAATACTCCTTTTTATATAAATAGAGATGTCAGTACAGTACAGAAAGTGACTATATGTCTGTTATTGTCCCCCGCTTTCACTGAAAGTGGGGGATATTAACTTGGGTCTGTCTGTCCATCCGTCCGTCCGTCCGTCTGTATTTCTGTCTGCCTGTAACGCTTTCGTTTCCGCACGATATCTCGAGAACCCTTTGAGCTTTCGCAATGAAATTTTGCATAGCAACTCCCTATGGCCTAAAGAAGACCTTTATTGAGGTCAAAAGGTCAAAGGTCAAGGTCATAAATTCATAAATTCTGTCTGTTTTAACACTTTCGTTTCCACGCGATATCTCGAGAATCCTTTGAGCTTTTGCAATGAAATTTTACATAACAATTCCCTGTGGCCTAAGGAAGACTTCTATTGATTTTGAGGTCAAATGGTCAGAGTTCAAGGTGGTAAATTTATACATTCCGTCTGTGTGTAACACTTTTATTTCCGCACGATATCTCAAGGAGCCTTTGAGCTTTTGCAATGAAATTTTATACCATAACTCCCTAGGGCTTCTCTCGTCCCTCTCAAAGTGTCCCGCCCCGCTTTTTAATTATTATTTACATGTATTGTATTAAAAGTTGCATATGGCACTATTTTTAGCACAGGGGCTTGTGGAGAGTTATTACGTATAATACAGGTTGTCGGCGGACATTATATTCTTGTTACATCTATTAGAACTGTTTAGTAAAGGCTAAATTAGACACCATGTATTGATTAAAATTTTGACAACATCAAACGTCAATATAAACATTTTATGTGAGTTAATGTTTGAATTTAATCTGCTATATAATATATATAACAAGTTTCTCCGTGGTCTAGTGGTATATTGCTCGCTTAGCAAGCGAGAGGTCCGTGTTCAATCCCCGGACGATTATTATTATTATTATTATTTTTTTTTTTTTTAAATTTTTAAATTTTTTTTTTTGGATTGATGATACTATTCAACATGTGAAATGAAAAAGTTATGATGTCTGGCGTGTACAAACTCATAAAATCATTATTACAGTGTGATAAATTAAATATTCTGTATATTAAAATAATGTTCTATACACATATTAAAGAATAAGCAATGAAATCTTTATATCCATATTGGCATTTTTTAAAATTTGCTTCAATATACATGTAAACATTTAATAATTCTACAAATACAAGGGGGCAGTGTGACCCCCCCCCCCTCCCCCGAACTGCGCATGCTCTTCTTTTTTCCCTAAGCGGGGGACACAAATTATCTGAATTAGCTTGTGTTTTATTTTCTCATGTACCGAAATCATGACAAACGATAATGCTGTACAAAATATAACGTTTGAAAATATATAAACTTTTGAATTAATAATAACCCTAATTTTGAAAAAGTGATATAAAAAACTTTTTCGAGAAAATAAGAGGTAAGAATGAGGTTAATTAAAAGTCACGGAAAAAGTGATTTTTGTTCTACTTCAACGGAAGCGAATGTATAAAATTTAAGTAAATGCATTTGCATTACAGATATGTCGTAGAATTAACAGGGACACAATTATAGAAAGACAAGAAACTGTCATGATATAATTTGACAGCTTAGATGAGGTCTACCTAGATAATCATATTTTGAAGTAGTTTCCTGTGTTTTTTAATTGCATATGATTACCCAACATTATCAATGAGTTTTCAGAAAAATAATAACTAAGGGAAACTGAAGATGACTTGAAAAACCAGACATTACCTTAATAAATTCTTGATTAATAAATACTGTTCGTTATCTGCATATAAATATCATATTCCATACTCTAGTCTGGAGATTTAAAGAGAAGCATATATGGAAAATAAACATTTAAAGTGTCGACAGCATAAAGAAAACCCTTGCCTTAGGAATTCTTCTCCCTAATCTTTTTCTTTAAAGAAAAATTCCCCATACAGAAAACCTCCTCCAGCACACAATTTCCTTCTTGGAAAATAATGTTTACTAAACGACATCAATTGTCA